TCTATCTCTCTCTCTTTTCTATCTCTCTCTCTCTTTTCTCTCTCTCTCTCTCTCTCTCTCTCTCTCAAGCATACTGACAGTAGAAAATACAGTAGTTATCCATAACATCCATTGCTGAATAGGGTATTATAATGGACAATTACTTACCTATGAAATACAAAAAATGCATGCAGTACATGGCACCAATTAAAATACATAAAGCAGACCCTTAGTAAAGACACACATATACAAAGAAAATTAATGAAACAGTAACAAGAAAAGAAGAAACACCACAATCCACAATTTATACTCTAAAATACTTTTTTTCTTTCTTTCCTTTTTACCTCAAAGTGCTTTGGCATGGATAGGAGCCACCCTGGACTAAAGGTCACCTTTGCCTTAGTAAATATAGATACCATTAGTCAACACATTCTCTAATTCTTTAATGTTATGTTTACAAAACTGAAGGCATAACCTCTTGTTTGAAATGGGTGAAAAGGTATTAAGTAAAATCTGACACATAGATGCAATTTGGAGAATTATTCATGGAGACTCTGTTCTCTACCATTTCTAACAATAAATTCCACACACATAATATCACCAACAGGACATATACATTTCCTTTTTCACCCTATATACACATCATTTGCCTGGACATACCTTCACATTTTTTACCATGAAACTAAACTAAGTAGCAAGATATGTGAAAATTGATCTATGTCATAGGCGTTAAGATACTGTCAAGAAAAAATATACAACAAACAAAAGCAAAGGCATTATGGGTGCTTATAAACAATGCTAAGATTAAAATTACACATAAGAAGCGATAAGCAGAAGTACTATGCATAACAGAACTAGGTCCCATTTAATGTGGAAAAAATGCTCTAAGAATATTCATTTTAATCATCTGTGAAAAGCTGACTAAAAGAATTGCAGCAAATATAAAATAGGGGAACTACACTTCCTACGCTATTCATAAGATCAAAATTTCCTCGAAAATCTAACGGCTATGCTATGTATCTGTACTACTCTAATGTCTAGACTAAACATAAATCAAACAGCAGACCTGGCCTGGTGCATGGCTGTGGTGTGACTCTTCAGTCCTGCAGCTGAGCGGCATTCAGACCCACAAGTGTCACAGACGAAGCGTCCGCGTTCACTACCAGAGTCGTGCAGCACAACACCTTGCTGAGAGGAACCCTCACCTAGGTAGGGGGCAGGTTGGAGGGATGGAAGGGTTCAAAATCAGTGGCTTACTTTTACTTTTTTTTCTCTTACTCATAATAGATGTTTTAGAAATATTGGGTGGCAAATGGGGGTTCGAAGATTTACATTTTACTCTTGTTCTTTTCATTTGCACTTGCATATCTTGAAGTTTCATCAAGCAATTAGCAATGCTGCTAATGATATTTATGCATTTGATTCTAAAAGCAATTTTTTTTTTTTTTAGCTATAACTCTAAACAACATAACTTACATAATTCCAAATAAAACAATAAAAACACACACAAAGATTCAAAATCAACTATAAGCACTTTGTGAATCTGAATAAAGCATTAGTCTACATGCTGTAAACATCACATGTGTGAAAGCAGATGAAAAAAGGTGCTTTTGTTAGACACTTAACTGTTTCACTTTTACACTTTTTGTTGTCAAGATATACAACACGGAAACATTTACTTTCCTATGGATGAAACAATCTAAAACATGTGTCTGGTAAAAATATGTCTTTCTACCGACTAAATGGTACCAAGTGTATTCCCATACTCCCATACAAAAATGAGTATACATAAATAATCACAACAAATCATATATAACAAAAAATAAGTCTAATCTCATAAACCTTTCATATCTATAAAACTGCCCACATGTATGTCTGTGTGGTATATCTAAGAATTTGTGTGGAGGAAAGAATGGCTATGCACGTGACATACTTGAAGGTGCACTTGATACAGAACTGGCCGAGGAACGTCTTGATGTGGAAGCCTTGGCCGGGGGTGGCTGATGCACTGCCATTGCTCCTGTTTGCTCTGATGGCTCAGGTCCACCCTTTTCAAGCCAACACTTAATGAGCTGTTCCTGATGGCTGATCACACCTTCAACCTTCCAAAATAAAAGGATAATTATACAACTAACATACCTATAAACACAAACTAATTCATATTCATCTTATAATCACAAAGTATATTTCCATTTTTCTTCTCTCAATCTTTTAAATAGTATTAATGCTCATCAATCACAAACCAAAACCAAGATTTCTACAGCTCTTCAAAACTACAAAGTCCTTACCCAGTTTTCTTTATCATCTTCCACAGGTAAGTTAACATAGCTCTCTTGGGTAAACGGCTTGTGATGCATTTTTGTGAAGTGACGCTGTAAACTAGGAAGCAGTGCATTGCTTACACCACACTCTGCACACTCATACCTGCAAAATAAAACCAATGTCACAGAGCTTGTGCAAGTTCAGTACTTTAAATAAAGAATGCTGTCCTAAATCCAAGACCGACACTCAATGATGATGAAAAAAAGATCCTCCTATAAAGTCCTCTACTACTCTTGTCACCAAAAACATGTAAAATATTTTTGTAATGAGTACTAAGGCACAATTCCATACCAACAGAAAAATTCCCATGACTTTTTTTCTTTTGTCAGCAAGAAATTAGACCTGAATCGTGTGTGTGTGTGTGTGTGTGTGTGTGTGTGTGTGTGTGTGTGTGTGTGTGCACGTGTGTGTGTGTGTGCATGTGTGTGTGCGCATGTGTGTAAGTGCCCTTGTGTGTAAGTGCGCTTGTGTGTAAGTGCGCTTGTGTGTAAGTGCGCTTGTGTTTAAGTGCGCTTGTGTTTAAGTGCGCGTGTGTGTAAGTGCGTGCATGTATGTGTGTGTGCGTGAATGAGTGCATGTGTGAATGTGTGCGTGCGTGTATGTGTACGTCCGTGAATGAGTGCGTGTGTGAATGTGTGCGTACGTGTATGTGTGCGTGTGTGTATGTGTGAACGTGCGTCTGTGCATATATGCATGTGTAGTATAGCTGGAGTAAATTTCATACCTGAGATAGTCAGCTTCTCGACAAAGGTGTGACCTGAATGTTGCAACACAAGATGTCTTGAATGACCGACACATAGGGCACACAAACTCTCCTTTGTCTGGTTTTCCTGTACCTGTCTGCTTCAACAACGTCTGTTATAAAAGGAAATGATATTTATTAACAAGAAAAAGAAAAAGAAAAAACTTGTGAATAAAGTAGTCACCCTAAAATCATAAAATATGAAGAAGCAGTAAACTATAAAGACACTGGGCATATATTTCCCTCTTTTTCTTCATTGTTTTCTTTATAACTTGTTCAGTGTGAATCCTTCCCTTAGTGGTATTCTTCACATTAATCAACAAAATTTCAAATACCTTTCTGGTCTCTGGATCGTCGTCTATCAGAATACCGCGGATGTGTCGAATGCGTTCAGGATCATTACGTTTCCACAAGGGTTCATGAGAATGTTGCCCATTACCCTGACTAATGGGTTCAATATCTTCTGAATCTATCCGATAATACATGCACAACACCTGATAGATAGACAAAAGGAAATTCCAAAATATCTATTAGAAAAAGCAAATTATGACAATAAATATTATCCATCAAATTGTAACATATCAATATAAATACAGACTTTCCGTATACATACCCTAAATGGTTGGTAAAGATGTTTTGCTGCAAAATGGGCATCAAAGCTGGCTCGTACTGAAGATCTGACATTGCAGTAGCCACATTTATACTGACTTTTGATAGCATGCTTAAGGCTTGTGTGGTTAACCATCTCTTGCTGTGTAACTGAGCAGAACTTGCACAATCCACACTGCCACTGTGGGTCTTGAGGAACTTGAGGAATAACTGGTGTTGCAGGTTCCTAAAATGGATAATGCATGAAAAAATCTAACCTTGGTTCTTCCTCAGAAAAAGGAAAGAAAAAATACCATAGGAGTATAATAAAATACTAGAACATGTTAATCTATCAATTATTTTTGGAATTCAGCTACTATAGAAAACATTTCCAATGATAAACTACAGGAAATATTTGTTTTCAAATATACTTATAAAATATACCTCTATCTTTTCCTCTTGTTTCTTTTGACCATCTGATTCATCTGGCTCACGGATAACAAAATCAAAGGCCTTCTTAGTTGGATGTTTTTCTTTCATGTGGCGTTCGACAACATTTCTTCGGTAGGATATATATGAGCACCATCCACACCTAAAAATTTATTGGTACATTTGTGACATGGTGAAGTACTTTTTCACCCCCCTGAATTCCTAATTAATGTTGAGCACTTTTGGAATCCATTATCACACATATCACAAATTTTATAATCAAACAAACATGCATACATGCACACATAAAAAAAAGGGAATCCATTTCAAAAATACCTGTAAAGCCTGTCTCCATGCAGCTTGAAGTGGGAGCTTATCTTTTCAACCGTTATTGTTATATCAGTACAGTGTGGGCAAGGGAACGATGTAATATCAGCATGCAGAGTGCGAATGTGATACTTCAACATCATGTCATCACAAGACAAGTAGTTGCATCCATCAATACCACACGAATGCAACCGTTCATCAGGGACATACTTGGGCAACTTTTCATACTCCTCTGTTGGAATAGGATTCTTAGTTCTCATATCTATATCCTCCTTCTTCTTCTTGGCTTCAAAGCTGCTACCTGCCAGGTTCATCATCTTATCAAACATGAGTTCCTTCCGTTCCAAGCAGGGCACTGGGTTGATGGGCTGCTTTGTTGGAATTGGGCTGGTGTCACCTTCAGCTAAGTACAACCTCTTGGGAATACCTTCTGGGTATTTTTCATGCAATTTGATATGCTTTATTAAATTCAATCTCACTTTAGAAATAAAATGACAGTAGTAGCACTTTAGATCTTGATATGAGACGTGTGCTTTGGGAATCCGGCCAATATCTTCAATGGCATATTCATTCTTTCGTTTCCTGTGGGATTCCTTAGCAGGTGGTACTGCATCTTTAGGATACACGATGTACTCTTGTGTTTCTGGATCTTTAATCTTTGGATCCTTTAAGACCTGCTTAAAACCTGAACACTTATGGATCTGTTTCATGTGATTTTTGAAGTAATGGACCATGGTTGCTTTATAATCACAACCAGCCACTCCACAGCGATACCTCTTTGGCCCATGGACCCGAAGGTGCTCAAAAAGAGTGCTCAAGTGTCGGCACTGTTTCCCACAGTGATGACACTTCAGGACGGTCGAGTCTTGGGCAAAGTTGCACACTTGGAGATGCTCCCGAAGATGAACCTGAGTTGCACTGGAGTACTCGCAACCTTCATTACCACAACGATAGAGAGCGTGACTGCTTAATCCTGTTTTCTCAGTGCTTGGGGATGTAAGGCCTTCTTCAATGCTGCTACCTGAACTCTTACTTAAACCATCTCCTTCACCTGGGGACAGAGACAAAATTAGTGTGCAACTGAGAGATATGAAGAGGGTTGGGAGGGAGGGATGGAAGGAGAGACAAAGGAGAGGAAGGAAAAATTGAGAAGGAGGGAGGGAAGGAGGGAGGGAGGGAGTGAGGGAGGGAGAGGGAGAGGGAGGGAGAGAGAGAGAGAGAGAGAGAG